GAGAATCTCCCCCAATCCCCAAAAATGCAGAACCTCAAGCCCTAACCCCTAAGCCCCAATCTTGACGCCCTAAATCCTAAACCCTAAATCCTAAATCCTAAACCCTAAATCCTACACCCTATATCCTAAGCCCTAAATGCTAAACCTCAGGCCCCAAGCCCTATAAAGTTGTCATCCTGGTAGTTGTTGAGCCCTGGCTAGAGAGTCTTTGCAAACTATGCAAATGTGGGCAGCGAACGCTGCTTAAGGGTTTATGGGTTTAGGGTCTAGGGTTTAGGGTTTAGGGTTTAGAGTTTAGGGGTAGGTAGAAGCGTCAGCTATGACCAGTTGATATCTTCTACTCTCCCATACTTACCTATATATGGGCTTTCCCAAGTGTTGGGATAGACTTTGGGACCCTATAGTCAGGATTGTAGTATTTTGGGATCTAGACTGGGTTCCCCTCTGTTAAGAAACTAACATAACTTTCTATCTAACTAGTGTTTCCTACCTAGGATGATAGGATAGTAGCAAGGCCAGATGCCCATCGTCTGGGCACTAACTAGGATGTCAGCTACTGTCAACATTAGCCGAACCAAGGGACCATTAGGGGTGGACATAGGGGTCCCTCTTGTAGTTTAGTATAGTCCCGAAAAACTCCCTTGTAAGGAACCCATGTCCATTATTTTTTTGGGGAAAATATGATTGTAGCTCACACCATCCAAACTATTTGCCTTGCGTTTCTTCTTGGGCTTCAGTATGGAAATTACCGAACAGAAACTTTAGCCATGACTGTGCAACCCTTGGACCCAAAAACCCTACAGCCCAAACCCTGAATTTCTGAATCCCTAAGCCTTATCTAAACCCTAAGAAAATTTAAGGCCGCTATACACTCCTACAGGACCCCCCATGCCCACCCTGTATGTCCCCTACACCTAGAAGTTCTGAGGACCTGCTGTTTTATGCAAAGTCGCTGCAGGCCCCAGACCCCGGGATGAGTCGTTCAAAGGGTTTAGGGTTAGGGGTTGATATAAGGGCTAAGGGTTTCAGGGTTGAGGGTTATGGGCTTAAGATTGAAGGGTTTGGGATTTCAGGGTTTAGGGCTTACGGTCGAGGGGTTAGTGTTTCGTTTCTCGGCGTCGGCTTCTCGTGGGATGCTGACATTGATTGTCCAAACACCCCTCGAAGCATCCCGGTTTTACAGTGTAGGGTTTGGGGTTTGGAGTTTACAGTTTGGGGATTCGGCTTAGGGTTTAGGATTTGGGGTACAGGGTTTAGGGTTTGTGGTTGGGGGTTTAGGCTTTGGTGTTCAGGGTTTAGGGTTGTCTGCGGGCAGGATGAAACTTCTGCAGGATCCTAGCGCGGCCACGCAGCTCAATGTACCGATTGGTCCACTCAGGGTCCCCAAGCTGTTAAAGGATCCAAGAAATGGAACCTCCCAATAATCCCCTAGTTTCCTTGGTGTAGTAATGGGATCATTATGGGGGTGAGAGCCCTAAAAATGCTTAGAACTTGAGGTGGACCAATACCCTTGATCCACCATTTCGACCGTCTGCATATTTCTTGCCGAGTAAGGAGGTCCAAATTAGAAAAGGCTTGGCTTTGGCCTTATCTGGCCTGCCGGATAGCCTTGCCGGGTAAAGGGGCGTGAGGTGGCTTGGCCTTATTTGGCCTGCCGGGTAATGACATTAACATTTAAATTACCATGTGAAAGAGAGGTTTAGGGTTTAGGGTTCAGGATTAGGCTTCTTTAAGGGTTATATTGGGGTCATTCAGGGATTCATGGAGAAGAAAATGGAAGCTACTACCTTTTCTGGGTTGCTGTTGAAGAAATTAAGTGTTGGCACCATTACAAGCGCGCCCCATGATCTATTTGGTAAGCCCCTATTATACTTAATTCCTTGAATCCCTATTTAAAAACTTCATATCACGCCACCAACCGTTTCATTTTTCCATTTCTTTCGCTGTGGCTCTCCATCATGGGAATTTAGCCCTGAGCTCTAAACCCTAAACCCTACACCCTAAACCCTAAACCCTAAACCCCAAAACCCTAAAACCCTGAAACCTAAAACCCTAAACTCCTTGACAGCAATCCAGTTTACTTTCCTCACGCTAGAGCCGTGTACGGAGATTCCAGCATGGTGCATTGTCTGTGGACTTCTTCAGGTCCATTTTGGATTTAGGCTTTGGTTTTGGGGTTTTGGGGTTTTGGGTTTTGGGTTTCGGGCTTTTAATGGTTTAGGGCTGCGGGTGGTTTGCCTGGTAGGCCGCACCTTCGGCAAACTCACAGGTAACCATATCGATACCTTGGATAGGACCGTCGTGTTTATAAACCGCTTTTTTGAAATACTATGTTGGTTTGGGTCAGTGCGCCCGAGCTGCCCGTGCAGTTCATACACAACTATTTGAAAAGTCCGGAGGCGAACAGTAAGGGTCTCATGTGGGCCTTGCGTCCATGTTGGGTGCCTTTCGGCTCTTCCTTTGCGCGCACGGGCGTATATCAAGGAGGCGGTCAGGGTTGCCCAACCCTAAACCCTAAGCTGTTTAGATTTAGTGTGTAAGGACCCTAGGTCTAGCATGACTCTAGGAGTCGTTGTAAGTAGGGGCTGGGCTACTCAGATATTATAAAACCCATCCATCCCCATAATCCCCTTTACAGGGCCCTCCACCCCGGAAACCTGCACCTTGTATACCCAGGCCCCCTAAAGGATCCAAAAAATGGAACCCCACCAGTATGAGCCCATTACTACATTGAGGAAACTAGGGGATTATTAGGGGGTTCCATTTTTTGGATCCTTTAGGGGGTCTGGGTAGCTGTACCAGAACTCCACGTGAACATTGGTAGCTATCAAGGCGCCTGCATACTTCTGCGTTCAAAGCCTCGAAGCCTAGACCCCAAACCCGACCGCAGCAGTCATCGGGAAGTGATATTGTTGATGCTAAAATTACTGCATGATTTGATTCTACTATAGTATCATAGTTCCTAAGGTATAACGTATCTGGAGTGCCTGCCAGCTACTGTATTAGTTTCCCCCGATCCCGCGGGTCAGTCAACGCGACTTGTTTGCCTTAACAGGGTTTCGCGAAACAGTAGTTTCCATGTTCTTTTCCACTATCCCAACATAACCCCTATATAATCCCTATATAACCCCTATCAAGCCCTAAATAACAGCCTTGCAAGAAACCCTAAACCCTAAACCGCATCCTATCAGTACCTTAAAGGTCTGGAAGTCAGGTTTGATTCTATGGGGAAAACACTAGCAGGCATGGCACTTAGCTTCCTCCGGCACCGTTCTTGGTTGTGCGAGCTCGGAGACTGCGTGCCACAAGCACTTGCTGTTATGGTTTGGACGTGAGTGCTCTGGGAACGGAATGTGCTCGAAGGGTCATCCCAGTTTCTACGTCATTTTCCACTTTCTTTTCAATTTGATTCTCCACTATGGGGTGTGAACCCTAAACCAAAAAACCTTGAACTCTATATCCGCTGCACTGCTCATATTTGTCATATATGGCTTAGGCATGGATGCTCTCGAAGAGAACACCTTCTCAACCCCAAATTGTGCAGCACCTCAGACCCTGAACCTTCAAAAGGCTAAACCCTACACCTGGTAGCCAATAAACCAAGACCTTGAACCCTAAACCCCCCAACAAGAACTAAAAAAAATGAACCCAAGACCCCCACCTTAACCCTAAACCCCCCACAAGAACTAAAAAAAAGGAACCCAAGACCCCCACAGTGTCAGTAGAGCCAGGGCATTGCTCAATAAGGATGCTCGACGGCCTGAGGTTTACGGTTTACGGTTCAAGTCTGGGGTCTAGAGTTAATTTCCAGGGTTTAGGGTTGAGGGTGTCAGGCTTTAGGCGTTGGATTTGGGTCTTGGGTTCAGGGATGACCGTTGAGTTTTGTCTGGTTTGGGTTTGCAGGTTGGTCTACTGAAAAAAATACGACGAGGTTCTACAGGAACTGTATGGACTTATTCTCTAAGGTTCGAGGCCCCAGCCACTATTAATGAATAGGTGCCCTGGTACAAGAAAACCTAATATCCAAATTGGACCTAGTTTCCGCCTAGTAAAAGGTTCAGGGTTTCAGCTTTCGGGTTCCGGATAATTCGGATCGCACCTAGGAATTTCCACAAAAAATAATCACAGTACAATTCTTGGGTTGAAGGTGTCTGAAATTGGGAATTCGCACTGTGCAGAAAACTGTGCCTTTTAGGGATAATGGGTTAGGGATTTGAGTCACAGTGACGAAGAACTCTAGCATTCCGTGGATGGACCCCCCCACCGTGCACTAGTGGTATAGTAGGAATATCAGAGGACCCCAACATAATCCTAATCATCCCTCAGAGGCCCTTAACCCTAAACCCCAAACCCCTTCTCCCTTGCAGTCACTATTACCGGGTGGGGGTCCACCTACGCAAGCCGTAGGGCAGGGGTAGTAGGAGAGTGTTAAGCCGCAACGGAGCATATCCATATCGCAGGGTTGATGCTCAAGTCTGGGTCTTCCTCTTCCTCAGTACCTACATGGCGCCCGTTTGTAATCCTCACGCCTAAACCCCTAAACCCGAAACCCCTGAACGACAGGTTTAAGGGCCCAAGCCCCAGATGGGGAGCTGTGATAATCAGACGGATTTTTTTCGGAGTTGGGCCTGTAGGGTGAAGGGTGGAGGGTTTAAGGTTTAGTGTGTAAGGCTTAGGGTGTAGGATTTAGGGTTTAGGATCTAAGGCCTTTGAACTGAATCTCGGAAACCTTTAGCCCTAAACTTGAAGCCCTCAGCCCCAAACCCAAGCCCTCAACCCTAACCCAGAAACCTTAAACCCTAACCTAAGCCCCAAACCCTGAATTCCAAATCCTAAGCCCTAAGCCTTAAACCTTGAAGCCCAAGCCCTACACCGTTAAACCACACGGTTTAGGGTTTAGGGTTTAGGATTTAAGGTTTAGGGTTTAGGGTTTAGGGCCAGAAACCCTAACCCTGAACCGCCATCGTAAATCCAAGGCACACATTGAGTAAGCCTCTGGCATGCCCACCTGTCCAGGACAGAAGCCCTAAGACAGGGTTTAGGCTTTCGCGGATTTTCAGGCTTGCCCTAAACCCTAAACCCTAGGTTGTAGGATGTAGGGCGTAGGTTTTCTCATCCTCAGACGCTCCACTTGGGCCCTTGACTCATAAAACAACGAGGAGCTTGATCCTTAACCTGATGAAACCCTAAACCCCAAAGCTTCTACCTAATCAAATGCTGAACCCTTGAACCCGGGGCGGTTTCGGCTGTATGGCGGCTTGCGCTTTTTTCTTCGAACCCAAAACTCTACATCCCCCCAACCCCGCCAACCCACCCCTCATCTGGGGTTTAGGGCGGCACAAGCCCAAAATCCGACTTGAGACCTTCCTCGAAGTTACATTATATCCTAGGTGGGTGTATTACCAGACACTAGCTTTATTTCATGTGTGATGATAGCGGGACGTTATAGGTAATACTAACTACTAAACTGCGCGGTGGGGAGCTACCTTGTCGGTACTTTTACTTCGAGCCTCCATCAAGCTTGCATGGGGAGGGTGTTAAGGGATATGTCATGCTTATACTGGGTTCTTGTTGAAATACCATTAAAAAAAAGATCTTTTTTAATTGAGATTGGGCCCAGGTATCCAAAAAATGAAAATTTTGTTCTACAAGAGCCCAGTATATGGGGGAACTACTCACCTGAAAGTTCCTTAGATCGTCCCTTATGTTGAGTCAGCCTGAACCTAGATACTATTTGGGAGGTTACCTTATATCTAGGTTCCCCAGTAACCCCCTAATAATAAGGGTACCCTTTTTCCTACTGTTCTGTGTTCCTAAGGCAAACCCAAAATAAAAAGGGTAAAAGGGTACCACTGGAGTACCTGAATATAGACAGGGATCCTAAACCCTAAACCCTAAACCCTAAACCCCAGTATACGGATCTATCCACCAGAAGACTAGCAAGTCGTGGAAATCCCTGCTTCAACAGCGCCTCTGCGGCCATGCCAGGCAGGGGCCTTCCCAGTTTAGTGGTTAGGGGTTTAGGGTTTAGGGTTTCGGGTTTAGGGTTTAGGGTTTTGGGTTTAGGGTTTCGGGTTTAGGGTTTAGGGTTTCGGGTTTAGGGTTTTGGCTTCTACTGGAGCTCAGAAGAGTACACCCCAAAAGTCATACGTTCTTCCATGCTGAGCGCGAAGGAACAGTTCTCCTGCAACTTTGGAATTTGTATGATCATGTGTGCATCTACCTACATGGGGTCAAATAGGGGTTATATGAGGATTTGTAAGGGGATTATATCGGAATTCTCAAAAGAGGCGCAGGGGAATGCATTTGTAAGACCACAAAATAGAATGATTGAAAACAAGGGCGTAGGCAGCTTGAATTCTGCGTTTCAGAACATAAAGGCTTTACCTTACGGATCTTAATAGCCCTTATAGCCCTATGTATTTCGCAAATCCTATGAACTAACAAGAACCCTTATCAAAGGTCTCTTGCCGACTCCCTAGGAAATCCCACGATGAGGGTTTAGGGTTCGGTTTCAAGATTTTAGGGCGGAGTAGGGTTTAGGGTTAAAGTGTCTATGGTAAAGCCACGGGCCTAGGTTCCAGGGTGTAAGATTGGGGGTTAGAGCTTTATCCCCTCCCCCTGATGAGGACCCACACCCCCTAATAGCAAACCCGCCAATACCGTACCGCCGTGGCTATTAGGGTGAATGGTTGCTTGTTATGGGGAAGTAAGGGGCTTCCCTTTTAGCGGCTAGAACTGTTGCATGGGTTGAGAAACAAGGGTCCAGGAGTTTGACGGCTCTACTTGGGATGGCTTGAAAAACCACCTGTATGATCCTAAACCCGTAGACCACACACCCTACACCTCAACCCTTCAAGCTAGGGCATTTGAGACCGTGAGGGGGTCTTTACTTGAAGGAGCAGACAAAGCGGTAGTTTTTGAGCCGGGGTGGCCAGCCTATGAGGGCCCCTTCTCGGGTTCCAGGTTTGTTTGGTGCATGGTTGCTTAGCCGGATTCAGAGCTCCGGGCTTCAAGGGTGGGTTTTGAATTCTAGGGCTTCGGTTTAATTTGGGTTTGGGGGTCTAGGAAATCATTCAGCTGAAGCCCTAGACCCTAAACCTACTGTAGTTAAGTTAGGCAGTCTAGGCTAGCCGACGTAGATTTTGGGCTGTCCCGGCAACTAGCTGAAGCCCCACGCAGGTGGGAAGCGCTAAATCCTAAATCCGAAACAGAACAGCCCTAATCCCTGAGCCCGAAACCCCTACACTCTCGACCCAAAACCGCAAACTTCCAAGCCCCACTTCTCATTGTACGTCTCGCCTGGGATAACCACAGAAGTGCTCAGAATTGCGTTCCATGTTAGAATCGTTGCTTCTAAATTGCATGAATGAATTCTCCGAAACACCCCCACCCCCCACCCCCGCTTCCGTTCCCCTGGAAAAACCCTTAATTCTTCCAAGTGATCCTTACGGGCAAAAGGGGCAGTATCCAAAGGGGTAGTAGGGGAACTCATGATTGAATCTCTTTGAAACTCCGAATCGACGCTAAACCTGAAACCCTAAACCGTACGCCGTACGCATACCTACGTATCCCTACATCTCCTAAACCGCTCAGCCCGAAACCCCAAACACTAAACCCCCAACCCCAAACCCTAAACCCCAAACCCCAAACCCTAAGCCCCAAATCCTAAACCCTAAATCTTAAGCCCTTAACTCCAAACCCTAAACCCTTAAC